TTTCAACTGTCTTGTACTGTCTCTTTTACTTTGTACTGTCTCTTAACCATATGCCAGTGTGGAACCTACTGTGCCAATTGTATTTTCCAGTGGACGTCATCAGGGGTTATCGGAGTGTTCGGACAACCACACTGAGGACAGGGATTCCTGACAAGGATTATCTCCCGTCACCTCGAACTTGTCTGACTGTAATTATCACCAAGATCGATCAGTCGATTATACAGGTAAGGTGTGAGCGAGAAGTGGGGACAGATGGAAGTATAGTAAGGAGAATAAATACTGCAGTCGGAAAGTAGTGTCAGGGCTTAACCCAACTGCAGGATTGATTGATTGATGAAGATTAAGCCACCCAAAAGGTGTCACGGGCATGAATAGCCCGTAAGTGGTGACCCTTTTGAGCCATTACCAGTATCAGATGATGATACTGGAGATCTGTGGAGGTGCGACTGCACCCTGCGTGACGGGAGATGTTTCCCGTGCAACTGCAGGCTTAGTGTTCAGGTTATGTAATAATATAGTCATGTCCACCCAGGCGTCATGGAAAGTCCCAGTGGTACCAGAAGTCCCGCCTAGCCATCACCGCCCAGCCATCACCGCCCAGCCATCACCGCCCAGCCATCACCGCCCAGCCATCACAAGATGTGTTGTTTGAAGGGTGGGGGGAGGTTATTTCTCAGTGAGCAGAGACAGGCAGGACGTTTCCTGCCGAGATGGCAGGAAACGAGGCTGAACTCGGCCACCGTATTGGACCTTACAATGGTACGAAAAATAGGCCTGTCCTGTCTAATAGAGGCAGTGGACTGTATAATGAAGCACAAACATTTACTTAGGGGCAGCGAATGCTATTACAATGTGTTTATTGACAGTTACGACCAAGGATGAACAGCTAGGCCTTATGGCACACCACCGGGACCCCATCCCACCCTCCTTGTCCACCCACGCCTTCCCAATTCACCCCCCCCCTTCCCAGTACAACCCTCCCCTCCTTCCTTGCACCCAATTCACCTGCTCCATCACACCCTTCAGTACCCCTAATGGCCCAATCCACACCCTCCCCAAATCACCCTATCTTTAAAACTAGGTATGATAGAAGAGGAGGAGGACAGGAGTCATTGCTTCAAACAACCGGCAGCTAGAAAGGCGGGATCCAAGAGTCAACGCTCGATCCTGCATGCACAACTAGGTGAGCATACACACACACACACAGGTATGCCAATAGACTAGTCCCAGAACTAAGAGGAATGAGTTACAAGGAAAGGCTGAAGGAAATGCACCTTACGACACTGGTAGACAGAAGAGTAAGGAGAGACATGATCACTACCTACAAAATCCTCAGGGGAATTGACAGGGTAGATAAAGATAAACTGTTTAACACTGGTGGTACATGAACAAGGGGACACAGGTGGAAACTGAGTACCCAAATTAGCCACAGGGACGTAGGAAAGAACTTTTTCAGTGTGGGAGTAGTTAACAGGTGGAACGCATTAGGCAGTGATGTGGTGGAGGCTGACTCCATACACAGTTTATAATGTAGATATGATAGAGCCCAGTAGGCTCAGGAACCTGTACACCAGTTGATTGACAGTTGAGAGGCGGGACCAAAGAGCCAGAGCTCAGCCCCTGCAAGCACAACTAGGCGAGTACACACCCTGGAGCACACACTCTGCAACAATCCCGGGAACAATATAGATTACTCCAGCGGCAAGTTGTGTGGAAGGAGAGATAAAGTCTGAAAGGTGAAGGAAAAAGATTTTTGGGGGTCTGAAAGTCTTTTTAAGATGTGAGCAGTCAGGTGACACCGCTAGCGAGCACTGCCAAGTGATACTACTAGTGAGCACCGCCAAGTGACACTACTAGTGAGCACTGCCAAGTGATACTACTAGTGAGCACTGCCAAGTGACACTACTAGTGAGCACCGCCAAGTGACACTACTAGTGAGCACTGCCAAGTGACACTACTAGTGAGCACCGCCAAGTGACACTACTAGTGAGCACCGCCAAGTGACACTACTAGTGAGCACTGCCAAGTGATACTACTAGTGAGCACTGCCAAGTGATACTACTAGTGAGCACCGCCAAGTGACACTACTAGTGAGCACTGCCAAGTGACACTACTAGTGAGCACTGCCAAGTGACACTACTAGTGAGCACTGCCAAGTGATACTACTAGTGAGCACCGCCAAGTGACACTACTAGTGAGCACTGCCAAGTGATACTACTAGTGAGCACTGCCAAGTGACACTACTAGTGAGCACTGCCAAGTGACACTACTAGTGAGCACTGCCAAGTGACACTACTAGTGAGCACCGCCAAGTGACACTACTAGTGAGCACTGCCAAGTGACACTACTAGTGAGCACCGCCAAGTAACACTACTAGTGAGCACTGCCAAGTGACACTACTAGTGAGCACCGCCAAGTGACACTACTAGCGAGCACCGCCAAGTGACACTACTAGCGAGCACCGCCAAGTGACACTACTAGCGAGCACCGCCAAGTGACACTACTAGCGAGCACCGCCAAGTGACACTACTAGCGAGCACCGCCAAGTGACACTACTAGCGAGCACCGCCAAGTGACACTACTAGCGAGCACCGCCAAGTGACACTACTAGCGAGCACCGCCAAGTGACACTACTAGCGAGCACCGCCAAGTGACACTACTAGCGAGCACCGCCAAGTGACACTACTAGCGAGCACCGCCAAGTGACACTACTAGTGAGCACCGCCAAGTGACACTACTAGTGAGCACCGCCAAGTGACACTACTAGTGAGCACCGCCAAGTGATACTACTAGTGAGCACCGCCAAGTGATACTACTAGTGAGCACCGCCAAGTGACACTACTAGTGAGCACCGCCAGATAAGCCCCACAACGGCCACTTGCAACAATCACCGCCAGTGACCACCACCACCAGGGTATTGTGCTCGTCAATGACAATGTCGCTGGTAGTTCTGGAAATCTCAGTAATGGCTCTGTTAAACTCTAGGCTTTGGTGTACCCGGTGGTGCCCGGGGTCGAACAAGAGAGACTAGGGTTCCCAGTGAACTGTGCTGATGTTCCTAGTGTAACTGCAAGCCAAGACCTTTTATACTAAATCAGCTCATCTGAAGCCTTACCCAAGCTAGAAGCTCAGTTTGAGGTTAATTTTGTAACGATTGTGAATAAACTCAAATTTAGGAGCGAGTAATATTAGAGAAGATGATGAACAAGGGTTAGTTGTTCAAACTGTGAGTGAAAGCTTTCATGGGGTCAGTTGACTTCATCTCGCGTGACCTACGTGTATCTGAGCAAACATGTTTCAGGTGGTAGTCTAGGTATGAGCGAACGATCAGGGTGTGAAGTTGTTGAGAAAGGCTCAACCAGCATACAGGTGTTGATTGCTGAGCGACTTGTGTTGTGACCGCCATCTTCTGCTTGTCCACCAAGCTGGGCCTGATGGGGGCAGCCTTGAGAACATTTTACCCTGTAGCTGACACTGGGTCCTCCTGACATCCCAGCAGTGTCAGAGGCTCTGGTGTACTTGCCAGTCCAACCTTAACACCTCAAGACTACAGATACTCTCCCGTGATTTTCGGTCCCTCTCTCTCTCGCTGTCTTTGTGTCTGTATATTTACTATTTGTATCTTCAGAATCGAGCTATTAGCTCTTGGACCCCGCCTTTCTAACCAAGTTATTTTTCATCTATTATGTCTACTACATATATTTCTCTCTCTCTCCTCTCTCTCTCTCTCTCTCTCTCTCTCTCTCTCTCTCTCTCTCTCTCTCTCTCTCTCTCTCTCTCTCTCTCTCTCTCTCTCTCTCTCTCTCTCTCTCTCTCTCTCTCTCCTCTCTCTCTCTCTCTCCTCTCTCTCTCTCTCTCACCCACACCCACATCCACAGGAAGCAGCCCGTAGCAGCTGTAACTCCCAGGTACCTATTTACTGCTGGGTGAACAGGGGGTATCTGGGTGAAAGAAACTCTGCCCATTTGTTTCCGCCTCGTCCGGGAATCGAACCCTTAGGATTACGACGCCCGAGAGCTGTCCACTCAGCCGCGAGGCCCGTGTGCCCGCGTGCTCGCCTATTTTTGCCTGCAGGATCTAGTATTGACACTTGTATCCCACCTTTCTAGTCTTCGGTTGTTTACAGCAATGACTCCTGTCCTACTTGTCTATCATACCTAGGTTTTTTTTTTTTTTTTTTTTTGAGATATATACAAGAGTTGTTACATTCTTGTACAGCCACTAGTACGCGTAGCGTTTCGGGCAAGTCCTTAATCCTATGGTCCCTGGAATACGATCCCCTGCCGCGAAGAATCGTTTTTTCATCCAAGTACACATTTTACTGTTGCGTTAAACAGAGGCTACAGTTAAGGAATTGCGCCCAGTAAATCCTCCCCGGCCAGGATACGAACCCATGACATAGCGCTCGCGGAACGCCAGGCGAGTGTCTTACCACTACACCACGGAGACTGCTATGACTGCTATGCTAGTTTTAAAGTTATGAATAGTGTTTACTTCCACAACCTGCTCCTTAAATGCAGTCCATTTCCACACTACTCTCATGCTAAAAAAAAACAACTTTCTAACATATCTATGACTAACCTGAGTTACCAGCATCCACCCATGTCCCCTTGTTCTGCTAGTATTCCGTGTGACCCTTTCGTATAGTTGCACTCTGTCAATCCCTGTAAGTATTTTGTATGCTGCTATCATATCTCCTCCTCCCTTCTTTTGACCAGCCTCGTCGCAAATTTCTGAACCTTTAATAGTTTCGTATTGTATTTCTTTAAGTGAGATAGAGCTCCATGATGGGGCGGCATACTCTAAGACTGGCCTCACGTAGGCGGTGTAGAGCCCTGAATGCCTCCTTACTTACGTTTCTGAATGATGTTCTAACTTTTGCTAGCATGTGTGTCTGCACCTGTTATCTGGTAGAGTTATCAGAAATATGGTTGTGTGGTTAAAGCTATATCTATTATTTGGTTTGGGTGTTATGATATCAGGATATCCAAAACAAGAGGCAGCTCAGATAAATATATTTATTTACAAAATCTTTACACCTGTCCAAAACTATTTACATTTTTACCTCTACAAAGGAAGGCTTTTGAGAGAAATATTACAAATATATATATATATATACATGCTACTTTTCTTTGGTCCCGCCTTATTTTAAAGCTTTCTCATGTACGTGTGTGTACGTGTGTGTGTACGTGTGTGTGTACACAACCACCACGCATGACGTAAAACTAATTACTCGAGCTCCTTCGACGCCCTCTGGTCATTACCACCAGTAGTGACCATTAGTGTCAAGTTGCTGACGAAAGCGCTCCAGTAATTATATTAACCTTCACATGTGACTCTACATTTAATAGATCAGCGAGTATTGATCTTTGTTGTATACAATAAATATATATCATTATTACCTATTTTTATAGATGAATTTAGACCAATAGTCGCATTCTATATCATCTTGCATACAAGTGCATTCTGATGAAATATATATTGCACTGTTGGTACTAGTGTGGTTGATGTTTGGGGCTCACAGTGGTGTGGTAGATGGTTGGGGCTCACAGTGGTGTGGTTGATGCTTGGGGCTCACAGTAGTGTGGTTGAAGGTTGGGGCTCACAATAGTGTGGTAGATGGTTAGGGCTCACAGTAGTGTGGTTGAAGGTTGGGGCTCACAGTGGTGTGGTTGATGGTTGGGGCTCACAGTAGTGTGGTTGATGGTTGAGGGTCACAGTAGTGTGGTTGATGGTTGGGGCTCAGAGCCCCGGCTGGTGTTGGCCAGGAGGAAGTACCGTGCCAGGCACTAGAGCTGTGAGCAACATATGATTCTGTTTGCATGTTGCTGTAGAAGGTTTATAAAACTACATTGACAGGTTAGCGAGGAGAGAGTGAGAGAGTGAGTGAGAGTGAAATTTAGTTTTCTCCTAATGAATGCAAATAATTAGTTCATCAACTAAATGAGTCTCTAGGGACAGGCTTCAGATGAACTGAATAAGGATAACAGCTCTTGCGTGCATTTTCGTTGGAAACATCTGTACCATTCCTAGCGAACCATTGTCTTAGCCTCTCTTTTTTTTGTCTAACAGGGCACGAATGGCTGCTCAGAAATGTTTGTAACAAGCAGACCAACAGGGACTTGCGTTCAGTTCTTAGGACACACAAACTGTTAAATAATTTTTCTAAAGACTCTAGGGAAATAGTTGGTAGTGATGGTTTCGTCATGTTCTTACAATGTAATTAAAGCACTTCCACGCCAGGAAGAAAGACCTCAGCGAACTAAAGTAGATTTTTTTTCTAGCCATAAAGACGAATTATCTCCATTTTTTCAGTAACACCCAAATAATTTGATTTTTCTTAAGCAGGCGGGGAATTTATCCCGGCTGCTTCTGTAATGTTAATGGGAAGGCTGCCCAGTGTGGTGATTCTAGCCACTGTGATGTATGAACTGTGTGTTCCAGGAGTGTGGGAGGTGGGGAGGGGAGGAGAGGAGAGGATAGGAATAGAATAGGGAAATGGAGAAGTGATAGGGAGGTTGATGAAAGTGGAAGGAACAGAGAGAGTGGGGAGGCAAGAGGGAAGGAGGAGAAAAATGAGAGGAGAGGAGAGTGAGTGAGAGTGAGTGAGAGAGAGAGAGAGAGAGAGAGAGAGAGAGGAAGCCAGCACCTGAGAGAAACAACAAAGCCTATGCTGTATTTTGTGTCAAAGGTCAACCCCGAGAACTTTCTTATGAAATCTGACTGTAAAATATTCCTTTTTATTCATCCAGACCTTTGTCACCTTTCCAAGCAGTCGTTACTAGTGTGTATGGTTGCTGGTGCAACATGTCAGGGGTCAAATAGACCCTAGTGTAACCCTATGTGTAACTTGCTCGCTTCCTGCAGGTCCATATTCGATTACCGATGGTCCAAGATTGTTCCTGCACTCCGACCTCGTATCCCAGCTTCTATCCTGTCCTCATGTCCCTTCAAAGTGCTAAATATCCTTTCAAGCTCAGCGGGTTCCCCTTATAATTGCCTTGTTTCATGTTAAGAGTTGAAGATTTGACAGTGTGATATGTTGTTAGTGGTCGAGACGGACACAACATGACAAGGATCAATAATTTTATATACTGTGTATTTTTGGAAGATTGGCGGTAAGGGGACAAGTTTCTGAGTCCCCCCGACCCCCACCTGCCGGGATTATTGGAGTGGTGTGTCGTGGACCATGTTTAGGGTGTACTCGGCCGGGTTCAGGGGCAGGGTGTACTCGGCCGGGTTCAGGGGCAGGGTGTACTCGGCCGGGTTCAGGGGCAGGGTGTACTCGGCCGGGTTCAGGGGCAGGGTGTACTCGGCCGGGTTCAGGGGCAGGGTGTACTCGGCCGGGTTGAGGGTGTACTCGGCCGGGTTCAGGGGCAGGGTGTACTCGGCCGGGTTCAGTGTGTACTCGGCCGGGTTCAGGGTGTACGTAAAGATCACTCCAAAAGAGATCTTGGTTAATACAGTTCTATGAAGGAACCACTTTGAGAATACGGTCGCTTGTCCGTAGACTATAGGAAAGTGCATCTAGAATGTTTATATTTGAAAGTACATGTTGGGGGTTACATCACTGCTGGGCTTGGGTACACTGCTGGGCTTGGTACACTGCTGGGCTTGGGTACACTGCTGGGCTTGGGTACACTGCTGGGCTTGGTACACTGCTGGGCTTGGGTACACTGCTGGGCTTGGTACACTGCTGGGCTTGGGTACACTGCTGGGCTTGGGTACACTGCTGGGCTTGGGTACACTGCTGGGCTTGGGTACACTGCTGGGCTTGGGTACACTGCTGGGCTTGGGTACACGGCTGGTCACCACGTCTGGACGCCCTGAAGATCAACTTAAGCATGTAGTGTAACACCTGAGAAACTTTCACCCTGCTAGAACATCTCTTCTGTTCACCAGTTCAGTTTTGAACAAGTTGAGATGTGTCGTTGAACATCCCGCTTCAATCACGCAACTTTCCGTGGAAAGTTTTGTTGTTGTTGCTCGTAAGGTCGAAATTGTCCTGCGTGATCCACGGGAGGAACGATCAGGAGTACGTGGTCATGAGGATCATCTGTAGGAAGACAGTGCTATTATTAGCTACTTGGAGCTGGGATATAAGGGAAATGAAATGTGATGAAAGGAAGTGTGTGAGGAACTGAATAAGAAATTCCAAGAGGTCTTCACCTTAGAGCAAGGAGAAATTCCAGAGATAAGAGAGGGAATAGCTAACCAGGAACCACTGGAAGAGTTTGAGATTACCAGCGGGGAAGTAAGGAAGTGTTTACTAGAGTTGGATGTGACAAAGGCTATAGGCCCAGATGGAATCTCCCCTTGGATACTAAAGGAAGGAGCAGAAGAACTGTGCCTCCCACTCTCCATAGTGTATAACAAATCACTGGCATCAGGGGAACTGCCAGAAATTTGGGAAGCAGCTAACGTAGTCCCGATATACAAGAAAGGGGATAGACAGGAGGCACTGAACTACAGGCCAGTGTCCCTAACCTGCATACCATGCAAGCTGATGGAGAAGATTGTGTGAAGAAAGCTAGTGGAGCATCTGGAGCGAAAGAACTTTGTAACACAGCACCAACATGGATTCAGGGATGGCAGGTCCTGCCTCACAGGGTTACTTGAATTCTACGACCAGGCAACAAAAATAAGGCAAGAAAGAGAAGGGTGGGCAGACTGCATATTTTTGGATTGTCAGAAAGCCTTTGATACAGTGGCACACAAGAGGCTAGTAAAAAAGCTGGAGATGCAGGCTGGAGTGAAAGGGAAGGTACTCCGTTGGATAAAGGAGTAACTAAGCAACAGGAGAAAACGAGTCGGAGTGAGGGGTGAGATCTCAGATTGGCGAGAAGTTACGAGTGGAGTCCCGCAGGGGTCAGTCCTTGGACATATAATTGTTTCTGATATATGTAAATGATCTCCCAGAGGGTATAGAATCGTTTCTCTCAATGTTTGCCGATGATGCAAAAATTATGAGGAGGATTGAAACTGAGGACGATAGTAGGAGGCTACAAGATGACCTAGACTGAGTGAATGGTCCAACAAATGGCTGTTCAAGTTCAACCCGAGTAAATGCAAAGTAATAAAACTAGGCAGTGGAAACAGGAGGCCAGACACAGGATACAGAATAGGAGATGAAGTACTTAATGAAACGGACAGAGAGAAAGATCTAGGAGTTGATATCACACCAAACCTGTCTCCTGAAGCCCACATAAAAAGAATAACGTCTGCGGCATATGCGAGGCTGGTTAACATCAGAACAGCGTTCAGGAACCTGTGTAAGGAATCATTCAGAATCTTGTACACCACTTATGTAAGACCAATCCTGGAGTATTCGGCCCCAGCATGGAGCCCGTACCTTGTCAAGCACAAGACGAAGCTGGAAAAAGTCCAAAGGTATGCCACTAGACTAGTCCCAGAACTAAGAGGCATGAGTTACGAGGAAAGGCTGCGGGAAATGCACCTTACGACACTGGAAGACAGAAGAGTAAGGGGAGACATGATCACAACCTACAAAATCCTCAGAGGAATCGACTGGGTAAACAAGGATAAACTATTCAACACTGGTGGGACGTGAACAAGGGGACACAGGTGGAAACTGAGTACCCACATGAGCCACAGAGACGTTAGAAAGAACTTTTTCAGTGTCAGAGTAGTTAGTAAATGGAATGCACTAGGAAGTGATGTGGTGGAGGCTGACTCCATACATAGTTTCAAATGTAGATATGATAGAGCCCAGTAGGCTCAGGAACCTGTACACCAGTTGATTGACGGTTGAGAGGCGGGACCAAAGAGCCAAAGCTCAACCCCCGCAAGCACAATTAGGTGAGTACACCCTGTGGAGTCCCACAGGGCTCTGTACTCGGTCCTATCTTGTTTCTGATATATGTAAATGATCTCCCGGAGGGTATCGATTCATTTCTCTCAATGTTTGCGGACGATGCCAAAATTATGAGAAGGATTAAGACAGAAGAAGACTGTTTGAGGCTTCAAGAAGACCTAAACAAACTGAAGGAATGGTCGAACAAATGGTTGTTAGAGTTTAACCCAACCAAATGTAATGTAATGAAGATAGGTGTAGGGAGCAGGAGGCCAGATACAAGGTATCATCTGGGAGAGGAAATTCTTCAGGAGTCAGAGAAAGAAAAGACTTGGGGGTTGATATCACGCCAGACCTGTCTCCTGCAGCCCATATCAAGAGGATAACATCAGCGGCATATGCCAGGCTGGCCAACATACGAACGGCATTCAGAAACTTGTGTAAAGAATCATTCAGAACTTTGTATACCACATATGCCAGGCCAATCCTGGAGTATGCAGCCCCAGCATGGAGTCCATATCAAGTCAAGGATAAGACTAAACTGGAAAAGGTTCAAAGGTTTGCCACCAGACTAGTACCCGAGCTGAGAGGTATGAGCTACGAGGAGAGACTACGGGAATTAAACCTCACTTCGTTGGAAGACAGTAGAGTTAGGGGGGACATGATCACCACATTCAAGATTCTGAAGGGAATTGATAGGGTAGATAAAGACAGGTTATTTAACACAAGGGGCACACACACAAGGGGACACAGGTGGAAACTGAGTGCCCAAATGAGCCACAGAGATATTAGAAAAAACTTTTTTGTGGTAGTTAACAGGTGGAATGCATTAGGCAGTGATGTGGTGGAGGCTGACTCCATACACAGTTTATAATGTAGATATGATAGAGCCCAATAGGCTCAGGAATCTGTACACCAGTTGATTGACGGTTGAGAGTCGGGACCAAAGAGCCAGAGCTCAACCCACGCAAGCACAACTAGGTGAATACACGCACGCGCGCGCACACTCACCTCCTCCAGTGAGAGGGGGTTGCCCTTCATCTTGGTGTCTATGCTGTGGTAGCGTTCTGTGGGAGAGATGAAGGAACATGTTAACAGGGAGCAACGCACCAGCACGCTACCTACAGCAACAGTAACCTTACTTTACTGTCTCTTGAACGCCAAGGAACGGTACACGTTAGGGACGGCATTGCCCAAGCACTTGGGCTGGACGGTAGAGCGACGGTTTCGCTTCATTCAGGTCGGCGTTCAATCCCCGACAGTCCAAGTGGTTGGGCACCATTCCCTCCCCCCGTCCCATCCCTTACTGACCCCTTCCCAGTGTTATATAGTCGTAATCCCCTGATGGTTCCCTTCCTCTTTCACCCTTCTGTCCTCGCGTATAATGTATTTAATGTAATAAGGAAATTATGAGCATTGTAATTTTGAGGAGGCCGCGACTAGTGAGCATGGGGCCCCCAGGTAGTTTAAGGGGGTTGTCAAGGTTAGGACGTGTCTGGTTAGGCAAGAACCACGCGTCAATATTTCCGTGCTTTAAACTCTACTAAAACGCTGGAATTTTGACGTTGTTGTCGATAGCGTTAAAAATCTCGGGGTGCATTAAGTGTGAGGACAGGTTCGTGTGTTATAAGCACTTACGTGACTTCTTAAGAGAGCTGTAACTCTTAACTCGGTCATGCAGCTGAGACTGTATTTACTAAAGAGTTTAGTAAGGAGCTACGAGGTCGTCCTTAACCCATGATAATTACAGTTATGGGCAGTCACGTAGCGGGCACCTCGTAGGACTTTAGAGCTCGTAAACTGTTTAGTAAATACAGATTCAGCTGCCATGATTGACTTAAGAGGTCACGCAAGT